TGCTTCACTGTCCTTTTGCAACCTTCATTGTGATAGTTTGTGATTATCTTTCTCTACATGCATGTAATAATGCCTCGAAAGTTATGGTGTCGGTTTTCATTCTAATAAGATATTTAATAATATTAAATACCGAATACCGAGTCCGTTATTATTTTATGAAATAATAATAGGGTCAATAAGAGTTAAAATAATCATAGTTGAGAGAAAAGAAGGTTGAATTTCGATTTTTAGACTAAATCGTAAATTTGCAAGTTAGAGGGGCAAAATAATAAGTTTGCCAAAAAGAAGAAAGAATGGAATTTTAATCGGATTTGATAAAATAATGTAAAAATATATACAAAGTATTTTCCAAATAATAAAATAATAGTGTACAAAAATATAGAGATTGGAATGAATTGTGCAAGAAATTAGGATACTAAAATAACAAATACACAAGTTAGGGTTAGGACTAATCTGTAAAATAAATAAAATGTCCCAATCAAATAAACAAAAACAAAAAGTCAATATGTAACATAAACAGAGGTTTAAATTAAATTTTAATGTTGAAATTAAAGGACATGAATAAATAAATCAAATAATAGAGGGTACAAATGCACAATGCATAGTTTCTTTCTTTCTCTTTGTTTTCATTTGAATTTTGATTCACGAATAAAACAAAATTTTATAGTAAGGAGCGAATTTATAAATTTTTTAAGAGAGGTGACTGCTCTACCCACCTTCCTATACGTCCTTGCCAACATTTCAAAAGATTGCAATTTTAACTTTCCCGGTATCATTTTCTCAACAACCAAACAGATCATTTGATGCTGTTGTCAGCCAAGTCCCAAACTTTAGGTCCTATCAACATTATGGATGTGCTGTTATTGGAATTTAAAGTCATAATAAATATTTTATGTAATGTATTTAAGATTCAAAAGTTTTCAACCTATCAATAATTTCAGTGGTTAAAGAAAGCATTACTCTCCTTAGAAGATTTGAATTTGAACCCAACATCTACAGAGTATATGAGCATTGCTTGTCAATTAATTAAAAATATTTTGAATAAATATTATCTTGTAATTATCTCAGATTAATAAATAATAATTAAATTCAAGATCTAAGGAGAAATCCATGTTCAATGGGTATTGGTCTGATCGGACTTATTTAAATTAAATTTATATACTTCAAATTATTTAGATTATATTCACATCGAATCAGTTGATATTGAGTAACCCGCAAGTGACGAGCTAAGCCAGAAACCTAACCTATTTAAGGAGAAGTAGGGTTGTATACGTGACATGTTATTGTTAGGTTTACAAAAGGAAAATTGTTTCAAATAATACTATCAAGATTAAGAGACATGGCTTCTCCTGATTTTCCTTTATGTTCTGAAGATGCCGCCATTCTTAACTCAGGTTCTGTTCCTGTTCCTGTTCCTGTTCCTAACAGTCAACCTACAAACCAAAAATCCCCTAAAAATGTGTTAAGATTTCGTATCAAGATTCCTAGTCATCATCTTCCCGTCGTAGCTGATTCATCTGTTGTTACAAGTATTAATGGAAAGAATAATTCAAGCCAACTCGATTCTATATCGAAAGCCTGCAGTGACTAATGCCGATCGTGTCCCCAAAGTTACAAAGAACAACAACCGAAATAAGCGGCGATTGTCAGTTACACTTTCGAGAGAAGAGATTGAAGAGGATGTTACGGAAATCGAAGCCTTGTCTGGTGGGAAGTGGTTGAGAAGGCCAAAGAAACGAGACCAACCTCGTTCAATCGTGGATCGGAGAAGACTTGATCGTTTGTTTCCGGGTTTCGAGCATCTAGGGTTCCAATAACTTTACTTTTGGAGCCAAAGGGCATGGAAAGCTACTACCAAATTATCTTTTGTTTAAGGGTATGTAACGTAGCTTACAATATGGCTACTTTCAGAATAGGTGCCAAGGGTTTTCTTCTTTGTTTAAAAGTTTGAACATATAAAGATCTCATTATGGTATACAATGCATGAGTTTTTTCCCCAATAGTTTTAGACGATTATATGTAATATATGTTCATAATTTTTAGTCTATTGACAATGTGCACATATATTTCAAACATAACTGTTTAAACTCGAGTCTTTTAAGAAAATAGCAATCCTTTTTACCAGGTTCTAAAGGTTTTCTTTGTTTAACGGGTAAACCATGCAAAAAGTCCCTTATGTTTAAGGTATGACCGACTTTGGTCATCAATTTAAAAATTAAAAGAAAATGATCACTATCTGATCTATTTAGTATATAATAGTCCCTAACACTGTCGATTTAGTATAAAATGGTCCCTCAGACATTATCAATATGTTAACCCATTAACGGATGTGTGACATGACAATTAAAAATTAAAAAAATCACGTCAGTCAGCCAACTGTACCACACGTATATCCGAAATTTTGAATGTCATTAACCTTTCTAATCGTCACTTAATCTACTAGATTAAGTGAATTAAAATCATTTTAATTAAATGAATTTAATTAACAGAAATAAAAAGAGGGGTTTTTCTTTCTTCGATTCATTTAATCAAACCCAAAAGAGATCAAAAAGTTTTTTTTCTCTTAAAAAACGAAAGGTTTTTCTTCCTTTAATTTCTTACTGGATTTTTCTGGGTTTCAAAGTAAAAATCTCTTCTCTATGTGGGTTCTTAGGTGAAAATCAGATGGGATAGGACGGATTAGGGTTCATCTCATCTGCTAAAATAGTTTAGGTTTTTTTTTTTTTTGTTCTCTGAAGAATAAAAAAAGTTTCTTCATTTTTTTTTGTTTATAAACGAAGGTGATATTAGAATGCTTGAACGGCTGCTTCGTAAACCAGGGGATAATTTAATGCTTTATAGTAATTTCTTTATTAGAATTTTTTCAATTTTTAGTGTTTATTTGGTTTGGGGACTTGTCGCATAGTTTGCCCAATTTTATATTATTTTTTCTTTTTTCAGCTTATATATAATATATATAATTATTATTGATTGAGATGAAGAATTATATTATGAGTGATTCTTTTAATTTGTACTATTTATAATTTTATGATTTAAATTTTGAATGGTTTTTTAAAAAATTAAAATATACAAATAATCTCATGACTATAGAATGTTGTTTTATTAAATCTTCAATTATTAAAATGTATAAAATGGTCCCATGATATAAAGTGTTGTTTTATTGAATCTCACAACTATTAAAAGTTATGAAAATGAACATTCGACTATTTATATATTCCAAACCCGTTCTTTTCTGTTAAAAATTAACGACATGTTGAGTTGGATGTTAGGGGTATGCAAAATAATCTTATTCGACCGATTCGATTTGAAAATTCAAATATTCGATCCATTTTATATTTTTCAAATAATTCGGATATGATATATGAATAATTAGATTAGATGCAGATTGACTAAATCCTTATTTCAGATTGCCAAAAAAATTGATAAATTTTGATATCTAAAAATGCACTCTTAATGTATGTTAATCTTCTGATTGAGATATGCTAAAAATCATATTTTAAAAATGTCTACTAGCACGATCGTTGCTTTCAAGCATTGATTCAACGACATAATGGTTCAAGCATTGACTTGACGACAATAATGTAAAGGGAGAGTCGATCCATAAATTACAGCTCAAAACGATTCAAAGATCAGATTTTATCACATATCGATCAACAAGTTAACGTCTAACTCAGACGGTCGCCAATTTTTTAACAGAAAATGACGAATTTGGCCCATAGTCAGATGATCATTTTGCATATTTTAATAATCAGGACTCAATTAAGCAGTGTCTTATAGTTAAGAAATTATTTTGTAACTTTTAATCAGAAAACTTAATAAAACGTCGTCTTATAATCGAGATACAATTTGTATATTTTATCCTTATAAGGAAAAAGTAGAACAACGAACCTGAAAGCGAAAGCTAAGGGCATGACATGCACCGTTAATATATCTGTTTACAGCTTCAAACTTAAGTTAAAAATTTGAGTACAACAGATTTGATTAAATATTTGTCGATTTATTAGGTTTGCTGATTTTGACGAGTATTTAATCGAGTTAGTTAATAGATTTGACAGTTCTTATTTTATGATTAAATTTTATTTAATTTTTTTAGTTGAGTTGAATTTATGAAGTTTGAGTTAAATTGTTTGGGTTTTTATTTAAATTTAATTATAATTACTTATAATATTATGAAACAATTCGATTTTAATTTAAACGATTTTCTGTAATCATACAAGATATACACATATATTATTTTATATTCATTTTCATATATGGAAATGAGATTTCTAATGTTATTTAATAAATCAAATGCTAATTAAAATTATAAAATATATTTCTGATGTTACTTTTTGAAAGAATAGCATTTAAAACTATAAAAATATATTTGTGATGTTATTTTTTTGAAAGAATGGATTTTGAAGATAAAATGTTGTTGTGAGTATAAAGGAGTTAATGAATTGATGAGAAAAACTAATTTACGAAAAAATAAATTCAAAGGATGAAATTAAATAAAATACAAAGTATTGATGGATTTTGGTGCAATTAACCTTTTTCATAAATGGTAAAATAAGTAGTTAGTGCTTATTGACTTGCCTACTATTTTATGTGTATAAGCCCGTTCTGAATTTGGCATTAATCATGAAAAGCACATAGGATGAAACATCTTTGAATCCCTAAACTTGGTAACTTTTTTCATCTTTATCCCTAAACTTTTATTTGTTCCATATTAATTTTAAACTTGACGCTTTTTTTCATTTTTAGTCTTTTTGATGGTGTCACATCCCGAGATTGTATGACGTTGTCAAAAAGATTAAAAATCCGAGTTCGAGGACTAAAGTGAAGAAATATTTCAAGGACCAAGTTAATAGAAGTTGTTAAGTTCAGGGATTAAAAGTTACTTTATCCCAAAAATGCATTGCCCTTCTCGTAATTGGTCTGTAGGTCCATCATGATCTCCTCCTTATAACTTTCCCTACCAAACAGCAGCCGTTCAAAGATCCCCAACACTGTATAAAGGAAACTACTCAAGAATCTCCATTGAAGATTCCATTGTCCCCAAAATTTTCTTCCCAACATGTTACTTTCTCACCATCCATCCATTTTCAATTCGCTATTGAAGTCAAGATTTAAGCTTCAGTATCCCAACACTCACCCTCACAGGCTATCCACAGCAGCATTCAATACCAAGCCTTTTACATCACCCTCCAAGAATCACCAGCCGCTTCTTAAACGTACACTCCAAAGTTCGGCACTGCCTCTTGTTTCACTTGATGACGAGGGACACACTGTTGAAACACTGAAGAATCAGCTACCAGAAGGATCCCAACAACAAGACAAGGACAAGAGCTTCTGGGGTGCTGTTAGTTTGATTGTTGGTACAGCTGTAGGGCCTGGAATGTTGGGTTTACCGGCTGCAACGATGAAATCAGGTCCACTTCCATCAACCATTGCCATTGTTCTGTCTTGGGTTTATGTTATTTCGTCCATCCTTCTTGTTGCAGAGTTGAGTTTTGCAGTGATGGAGGAAGATGGGGTTGAAGAAGTGAGCTTTACTGGTCTTGCAACAAAGGCATTAGGGGGTCATTTTGGTGCTTTTGTTGCGGTCATTTATGCCTCCCTTAGTTTTGCTTTGTTAGTGGCTTGTGTTTCGGGCATTGGTTCACTAGCGTGCCAATGGTTTCCCTCGATGAATTTGGTATTGGCTCATGCCTTGTTTCCACTAGCTGTTGGGACTGTCATTATGTTCTTTCCATTCAAGGCCATTGATGTTTCCAACAGGCTTTTATGCTTCCTCATGCTGTTCTCGATAACCGCTTTGGTGACAATCGGTTTATCAGTGACCAGAGCAAATGTGTTAGGCTCCTTTGCTCATGCCTCATGGAGTCTATCAAGAATCTTGCCTGCAATTCCTGTTACTGTACTCACATTAGGATTCCATGTTATCACTCCTTTTATTTGCAAGATTGCTGGAAATTCAGTGTCCGAGGCTCGAAAAGCAATACTGATCGGAGGGGCTGTTCCGTTAGCTATGGTTCTATCGTGGAATTTGATTGTTTTAGGACTGGCTGGAAATACCTCGCCGAAAGACCCTATATCCCTCCTACTTTCAGTGAATCCTTCTGCTTTATCCGCTGTTCAAGGATTTGCATTCTCTGCGTTGGCAACTAGCCTGATAGGATATGCTGTAAGCTTCCCTAAGCAACTTCTTGATACCTTGGAATTGATTCTAGGGAAAGCAAGGTTGGCAAAGCAAATGCCTACTCGGTCTCAGTTGGTCTCTAATGGTTCCGGGCGAGTTGGTTTTGTGATTTATTCAACTCAGCATGAAAGCCGGAATTTTGGGAAAGCTTCATTTGGATCAAACAACATTGCTGGTTCAGAAAATGTACGTCTGTTAAGAAAAAACGACCTTAAATCATTCGAAATATTTGTAATACCACTAGTGCTCGCTGCTCCGGTTCTTATAGCTTCCTTCTTCCGTTCAACGTTTTCGAGAGCCCTTGATTTTGCCGGGGTTTACGCAAACTGCTTCCTCTTTGGCATCCTTCCCCCTGCAATGGCATACATACAGAAGTCAAGGAAGAAGCTCAGGTAATGCAATAATAGTTAAATACAACAGTCTACTGCATATACCTGTCAGAATAAAGATTACTGTGTCCATTGCGTTTCCCCATTTCTTGGTTAACGTCTTCAATTCGACAGGTCATCAATCCTCCCGGGAGGAGATGCCGCACTTGCACTACTCTTCGGCATCGCAGTCGTTTTGGGGATATGGCATTAGATGACCAACAGGTAGCTCAAACAGAAAATCATTGCTGCTAGCAAACATTTTCAGGCTTCATGTTGATACTGAATTCAGACCATGATTCCTGCATAATGTCAGTGAAAGATTTTATCTTTTTTTTCTCTCCTCGATGGATGAACCATCACCAACAACTATGGTGTGAAATATATAGAACTTTGTTCAGGAGGCTGAACCCCACTGAATAATAAAGTAATAAATTCAGTTTTTTTTTTTTTTGTTCTTGTTCATATCTATATAATTACATCTGATTTTTTTGCTTGAATCAACAAGAAAGTTTACCCTCAAATTAATTCACAGGTAAACACCCATCATATGTTAATGGTAAAGGAAAATGGCATCTTTGGGATTTTCATTACAGGAGTTATAAATTTAGCACACAAAGACGGCAATTTCCTTGAACTTTTTGAATGTAGAATCAAAAGAATTTATTATGTAAATATTACAACCTCAAATGTCAAGACACAAGAGTAAGCCTTCCTTTTCGATAGCTTATCATTTCGATAACTGAGATTACAGTGATTACAAAACTCAAAACAATCAAGAGTACCAAGCCTAAAAATTTCTATTTCCAATCAATCACCAGCATGCTTGTGCCCAGTTTATGGTTGACGGAGAAAAACCACAAGGGTAATGCAACGGCTTCACTTACATTAGACCTTAGGAATGATGAAGGTTTACCATAAGCTCTGTAGCAGCAAGTTGGCAAGACCCTGTTCAGCTTTGCTCTCTTTTCACCACTGAAGATATTAATCATGAAACCTTTTGTGTGGACCTTCAAGGCCAGCCAAGTAAATATCCCTTTGAGAGTCATTTCAAAAACCCTAGCAAACATCTTTGCTTACTGCAGCCTCTTAACACAGTGGATATATGGAGCTTGCTCTGTCGCCTCATATCAATTTAATTTGTTTTTGCAGCAGCAGGATTCCGACCGAATTGGACAATTATTGGCTTGCCTTTAAATACATAACCGTTTACAAGGTTCTGCAAGGAAGGATAATCCAATTGAATACAAAATGAGAAATTCATCACTATTTCCATGATAACAAAGAATTGATAGACCTAAAATAAAGCAGTATACCCTGGGAGTAATTATTACAGTAAGAAATCAAGAACCAAGTGTGAATTACGTGTGTACTAAGAATTACCTATCTTAGAAGATGGTTAAGGTTCCTTGCTAATAAAACTAAATCTTATTAATAAAAGTTTGTGATTTGTATGAATTGTACAAGTAGGAGAGCCTCAAGAACATCATTTTGATCATCAACAGGTTGTCTTTGGCTAACAACATATTATTAGCCAAAGCTTTTATCTTCCGATATAAGAGCTGAAGTTTAACTTCACTAGCTTTGTCACAAGAAAAAGATGTATAGCGAAAAGGAACCAGGTTGGCTATTTTGGTAAAAGAACCATAATGTTGAGAGGATAACAACTCAAGATGAGAGTCAATTCATTTTGCCCCACTTTTGTTAATGATAATACCTAAGTAACAAGTTAATCCTAGCTTGTTTGGCTAGAGATTTCATTTTGCTCACACCGGTTTGACACCTGGTCTCGAATTTTAAATGTTGAGGACTAGGATAACATAAACAATCCTTCAAAGACAACAGTGGGTGTTAAGGCAACTTTTATGAGATACAAGAAATGGACAAACTCGGGAAAACAAAAGCCTGAGACTAACATACCAAAGCATGATGGGCAAGTTCAACTGATGGAAAAGTCACAAAAGCTTGACCCCTCATCCTTCCCTCCTGAAATCAAAAGATTATCTTCAGAATCACAATTAGGTAACCACATCACTTTTTGATCTGCACATAAGTGAAATATTCTAAACAGAAAGACTCAATATTTCCATAATTATATAAACATATTCTTCTGATGTTCAAATTCCAATAATTCAACTCTTGGTTCTATGAAAAATTCAGATATTTGAGTTTGATATCAGTTTTTCCAGTCAACTGTCGGTTTTCCAATAAAAAATCAGCAATTAAGTTGGAAGATAAAATTTAAAAAAGCAATGTAAATGAGTTGGAAATTAAGCAACAGATAGTAATCCAAATGTAATGTAACCTGCATTAGCTTCACATTAAGACTGGATTTAGCAGCATCAATACTTCCAAATAATGATCCTACATCACAGCAAGACTTAATCAGCAAAAAGCATTTTGCTAATACCAGCAAGGAACAAAATAATGATGCACTTGAATTCCAAGGAGTTAAAAAGAGAAATTTTAGCCTGCATAGTCATAAAGTTAAATATAGTATCTCCTTTTCCCATTTATTACTGTCATTGAGCTGCTAAGAGGTCACTGTTTGTGTAAAGCAAGACGGAATGCACTCAGTCTCACCAAAGATAAAGTAGAAATCTTCAGGAACAGCATCCTTTGCCAAGTTCTTTATATACAGCACAGAAGCTGGATTACCAGCTGTATAGTTCTGCACAAACCAAGACTCTCGATTCAGTTTAAGTTTTCACAGATGCACCAAACACAAGCTAGTTTCTGTAATAGTTTGGTGCAAGAAAAGATTTCGTACTTCAACAGATGAGTAAATGGAAACTTAGGCAATTACATATTTCTTCATCTACTATCTAAAAGCAATCTGCTGAGATAATATCCAATACCTTAAACATTGGAAGGGACAAGATTTCTTCTGGAGGCAACTTTCCCTTTTCCAGCTCATCTGCAGTAGCAAATTGTTTGGCATCTATACCCTCATCATTAGGTTCCTCTGAAATCTGTTTATGGTCATCATCAGCATCTTTCTGCTCATTAGGAATCTGTTTGGGGGCAATTTTGATCTGTGAAAACACCGAGAAGATTGTCAAAATTTAGACGAGTAAAGAGTACAGCTCATCCTAACATAGTCCCATTCGATAATAGTATGACCTGTAGAAAAGGGTTCTTCTTCTTTATCAACGGGATTTCTTTTGGGATCAGGGTGGCAGGTTTCACTCCAACAGCTTCATGAGCTACAGTTTTATCAATTGCAGGGCCCAAGATAGCTTCTCGCCTTGCACGCTTCCTTGCAGATTTTGGAGCTCCTTTGTCATTGGCTTCCTACAAACAAGTTGGTCAAGGAAGAATGAATAACTACTGAAAACATAAACAGGGTTAAACTTGACCAGAGTAGGCACAAATGTTCTGGTTAATTTAATCTAATATGTGATTATTATTTTTCAGCATTTTAGCAGCAATATCTTGCCTCATCTGAAGACTCCATTTCAGATTCACTAGAAGATGCATCTTCCAAATGAGGCTTTTCAGATGATGAAGCGGGAGGTGGGGGTGGTGGCTGCGGTGCAGGTACTGGAGGTGGCAGAGGCGGTGTGGGCAAAGCCATACGAAATGGAGCAGGAATATTCATTTTATTCATTAGGTGCAACACCTGAAATCGAGATACTATATGGTAAGAGATACATATCCAACTGCAGTTAATCCGGTATGATGAAGTAAATATCACACAGAGGAGAACCTAAGAACATTAAGAAATATTTAAGTAGGTTTAAAATAAAGGTGAAACTAAGAAAACCTGGGTATAGAAGCGAGGAACGGCAATAAGAGCATTAACAATATTGGTCAAAATATTTCCATCAGGTGGAGGGTAGGCATATCTGCAACACAAATATGCATAAACTTTTGTTCATATCTGACATGTTTATTGCATTTATAAGAAAAGCTGTGTACACTATGCAAACTATAAAATCATTTTTTAATAAATGTTTAAGCACTGGTTGCAAAAAATTGAAACCGATAATTGTATACCATGCATGCATAATGCTTGAGATCATATTGGAACCTTCATATTTCAAGCATCTTCTGATAAAGTGTAAAAGGAAAATTGAAAAAATAGGAGGAAAGACTCACTCAAGGTGAGGAGGAAATGGATAGTCTATACCGAGTCTAGGAGCAATGGGTTCACTAGAAGGTGTTGATCCCAATCTTGAACCAAGATTGGGGTCTCTAGTCGAGTTGGCATCTTTCAGGAAAGATGCAGGTTGTGAAAAATCCTTTCCAAGCTGAACTCCAGTTTGCTGAGGTTTATTATGTTCGGTTGGCTTACTAGCTCTCTCCACTAACAAGACTTTACCAAGAAACCTCAGGCTGAGAAACCAAATAAATAGGATAATCAGATAATGATTTCTAATGTTGTATCAATATAAACAAATGAAAACATAATTAATAGAACAATCATGATATATAACAATAAGACGGGTTCCTATCCAATGCCAATGAGAGATAACTCATGTATTTGAAAAAGCAAGCACCTAACAGGGGAAACAAAACAAACAAACATAAGCAAGAAATTTACCCGTTTAATTGACGGTGTGCTTGAGAAGCCAATGCTTCATTTTTGAAATCCACAAATGCACAGTTTCTTAACCTACATAACAAAAGGACAATATGATTCTATAGGATAAAAACCAACAATGTGCAAGATCTTAGAAACTAATTCCAAACTGAATAAAATTTACACGGAACCGTCAAAAGTTTAAAATTCACTTACTTTACACTAGAGCAAGGACGAACAGAGGATGCACCGTAGTGAGAGAAAAGCCGCAAAAGGGTTTCGGGAGGAATGGCCTCAGGAAGATGCCGAATCAAAAGGGTAGCTACAGAATCCCCTTCCAGAGGGTTCGCCGTTGCTCCTTCAACACCTTGATATCCAAAATGCTGCATTTGAGGACTGCTAAAAGGCTGCGAGGATGGAATAGCAGCCATTAAAACATCACAGCAACTTATTTCCTATTAAAAAAACATTTTCCAACATAGAATTTTGATCAGCCTGATATTGTATTTTGGATATGGGTATTACCAAAACTCTTAATATAGTAATATAATTCCAACTTTACAAATTTAAAAATAATAATAATAAGAACAAAACATCATCAGCATGAAACATAAAACTACACAAAATTAACAAGAATTACCGTTCTTACAATCGCATTTGCGTCACCAAAAAAAAAAGAAAAAAACTTTTCAGAAACCCATGTGATTTCTTAGTTTCCGTATATGTATTTCACATTAGAAGGAAAAAGTAAAACCGCACCTTTGAGTTCTGGGTATTGATTTGCTCCGCCTGCTTGCTGCTTTCTAGCTTGTTCTTTCTCTGAAACGAAATCTCAGGGAGGGTTCTAAAAGAAAATCGATGGGTTATACAGATAGATCCAATCGAATGATCTGTGGGGACTTTCGGATTTCAAAATGGGCTTCTAAGCTCCAAAATCTATGGTTTGTTCCTGTCTGGGCTTTGTTTTAAGTTACTGAACTCTATTTCGTAATCTCCATGTGCTTCAGAAAATAAGAAAAAGCAACATTATATCTATAAATGACTGTCCCTTTTTCCCATATATATATATATGGAGTAAGGGGAGGTAAGATAGTAGGCTACCCCCAACATAAGGTTGAGAGCAGCTTCCGTAAGACCTCCGAATTATGAAATACCTTCCATGGGACTCGATCCCACGACCTCAAGGTTAAAAACCTTATGCTTTACCAACTGAGCTAGATGGTCATTTCTAATAATATTATATCTATAGTCTATACTAATATGGTAGATGAATTGACGGGAGCAAGACAGTCACTTCACCCAAAATTTTAAATTATTATATATTTTATTTTTTTTATATTTTTTTATTAATAATATGTTTTTATCTTTTCAAAATTTATAAGTTTACTTTTTCTTAAAAATTTAAATGTTCATCTCTAATATAAAATTTTATGTTCTTTATTAAATCATGGTTAAAATGGATATTAAGTTGTGATTCAAATTACTGATAAAGCCTTGATGCCAGAGTGGTCGTGATTTAAATATGAGATTTTTATTTTATTTAGTAAATATTTTTTTATGAAAATAGTGAATAATTTTTGTTTATATTGATATATATCGTGTTTCTTTTTCTTTTTAGAATTGGATTTGTCATTGCCCCTTTAGTTACAGTCATTTAGTTATTTAGTTGATCTACACATACTTTTATCCCTCGAGCTAGTTCTCTCAATTCTGATAAGTACATACGATTATCCTAGAGATTTTGTATTTGAGTTGTGATCAATTGTCAACATATGGTTATATTCTATTATTATATTAACGTATTGGTAGTTATCAGTGGCAGACATTATTTGTTGGGACTTGGGGCGTCATTTTAAAAAAAATGTATATATTAATTAAAATATTTTATTATGTTCAACTGAAATGAAATTAAAAGTTGAATACATAATTACTTGATTAAAATCTCAACTTAAAGAAAATGAACAAGCCAGACAAGAAAAAAGACAAAAAATATATCTTTAAATGAAAAATAATAAAAGAGAATATATTTTCATTCATTTAAAAATAAAACAATAATACAAAAAAATGAATGCTAACTCTCTTTAGTAAATGATAACTAAATTTTAAAGTATTAGTTTCCAAATTTTTAAATAGTATACATATAATTTTTTAGACAATTAAATTTAATAACTATTATGTACACTTTTTAAGGGTCAACTTAAGGATTTAATATATATAAATATATACCAACAATAAGTTGATCTAATATGACGAGACATTAGATCCCTTAATAAGGTTAGGGATTCAAATTTTTATGTTTGCGAATATAACAAATTAGGTTGAGAGGATCACCCTCACCTCTCTAACACCTGATTCGAATTAATTAATTAATAAATTAGATATCATTGATTATACCATATATATATATATATTACATGTATATAAATACATATATATATTATTTTGCAAATTTATTTGTAATCCATTTGATGAGTTAGAGATTGACTATCCTCAAATTTTTCGAAAAATAAAATAAATGTAGTAATAAATTTTGGGCATTATTTCATCAACAACAAGAACAAAAACAAAGATTGTATCAGGGTTCATCATTGTCTGCTCTTGTCTTCTTTTCTTTCACTAAAAATCCAAATATCATTATTTATCATTATTTCAACTTAAAATTATATAATTTTCTAACAAACTAAATTTGAACTCTATCATTTAAGTGTTAAAGATAATTTTATCATTATCCTAATATAAAAATCTCAAAAAAAAAAATTAAATTATAGAAGATTTTTTACATTCAAGTCATTCATTGTTTCTTTTATTAGTGCGAGATAATTATAAAATAATATATATTTAAAATTTTATTAATTAATTTACAATGAATATATTACACCCTACAAGTACGACACTTCAATAAATTTTCAAGTCTCGTGTTACCATGAACTCAGTCGGGAAGATTTTGATGCCTCTTCACTGACACATCCACATGGGGGGGGGGGGGCGAAAGTGTATACGGACCACATCAACTTTTATGCTATGTTTTGAAAACGGATCGGATCGGACGGTTCAATTGGTTTAATCGGGAATCGTTGTTTAGTTCGGTTCAATCTAAATCAGTTGAACCGTTATTAGTGAACCAACCAGAACCGTTGAACCGTTCGAACCGGACCGACTGAAAACCGAAAAAATCCGGAAAAAATCGGGGAAAACCGAGAAAAATCAGGATTTTTGTTTTTTTTTTGTTTTTAAAAAAAATTAAACTAAACAACGTCGTTTGTTAAACGAGCCAAGTCGAACTCGAGTATTGATGAGCTCGACTCAAACTTGAAAACTTTAAAAGTAAGCTCAACTCAACTCAAACTCACAAGCTAAAAATTATTAAGTTCAACTCAAACTCGAAATATAATATTAAAACTTGAACTCAAAAAGACTTGAACTCAAAAAAAAATTAGAAGCTCGATTGAAGCCTAAAATTCGAGCTTGATTGAAGTGAAAGAATAGTTCACTCAATGATCACCAAAAGGCTCTATGATTTTGAATGTCAAATTACCTCTATTATTTATAGAAGTTAGTTGTGATGCGTTTCTATGTTTCTTAGCAATGTGAGATTGCTTTGTTCTCATATTTTTACTCTTTAGACTTTTGGGATGCTCTTCTATATTTCTTAGTCATGTGAGATTGTTTTAAAAAAAAAATTAAACCAAACAATTTCATTTTATTATGATTTTTTAACCCCAAATTTATTTTTTAATTATAGTTATATAATTATATTTATTATTTAATATGTTTTACCTTGAATATTATGTTGTAGTTAATTTGATTCATTTTGTTTCACTTGATTTTATGATTTTTAACTTATATATGTTATGACTTGCTTTGAATATGACTTGTGATATAAAAAATTATTTTTTATTAAATATTTTTGGTATTTTTATTTAATTTTTTAAATAATTATGACGTCGTCCGGTTCTTCCGACCGGTCAGATCGGTTCGACCGGTTAAACCAATGAACCGATAACATGACCGATTCGCTAATCGGTCCGGTTCTGAAAACCATACTTTTATGATTTGATTTGATTTTAAGTCTTTAAAAGTTTTAAAACCATTAAAATTAAGTTATTACATTTCTCAAAAAAAAAAATTAGTCTGATTATTTTTTTAATATATTGTCAATTTTAAAGTTAAATTAAGTTTTGCTCCTAATTTAATTATTTTTTAGGACATGATAATTTTAAAATTAGTTAAATTAAACCCCAAATCTTATTTTATGTGTATGGTTTAATTACCTTTTAAAACTTTGTTAATTTCGAAGATAAGTAACTTAACCCCTCTTATAAATAAGGTCAGTTAGGTAACTGTGTACCTACCCCACATTTTTTTTCTTTTACAAATGAAAAGAAAATGCTTTAAAATACAAAAATCTACTGATTATGAAGTTGATAAACTTGCGGATTGTCTCAGGAAAGGCGAGTTAATATACGGCGTTACCTGAAATATCGAGTAATAACAATGTTGTAGGTGGAAATCATGAAGAAAATATTAAAAAATTTGGCAACCGGCAAACTTAGCTTGTCGGTTTGTGTCGATACAAATTAAAAATGTATCGATCCATAGCAATATAACAGGTAAAAATATGATAAAACCGGTGTCATTATGATAAAACCGGTAAAGCGCTATCGGATATATTGAAAGTGTCGATAAATTAATATAAGTGTCGACACTTTTGTAATTTAAAAGAGAATAAGTTATAGCGCCTAAAAGGTGTCGATACTTTATAAAAATGTGTCGATCCATAGCAATATAACAGGTAATAATATGACAAAACAGGTCTCGAAATGATAAAACCGGTAAAAAGCTACCGGATATATTGAAAGTGTCGATAAATTAATATAAGTATCAACGCTTTTGTAATTTAAAAGAGAAGAAGTTATAGCGCCTGAAAAGTGTCGATACTTTATACAAATGTATCGATCCATAGTAATATATCCGGTAATAATATGACAAAAGAGGTCTCAAAATGATAAAACCGGTAAAAAGATATCAGATATATTGAAAGTGTCGATAAATTAATATAAGTATCGACACTTTCGTAATTTAAAAGAGAAGAAATTATAGCGCCTAAAAAATGTCGATACTTTAAGAAAATGTATAGATCCATAATAATATAATAGGTAAAAATATGATAAAACCGGTATCGAAATGACAAAACTGGTAAAGCACTACCAGTTATGTTGAAAGTGTCGGTACTTTAATAAGTACGCGTAAACAAGTATCGACACTTTAAGAGAAATAGGTAAATATCCTCTCTAAAGTATCGACACTTCACATAAAAGTATCGACACTTATGTAATTGTATCGATTAAATATAAATAACATATCCGATGTAAATATAAAGGCATAGCTAAATTTTCTCTGAAAATAGATAGAGTTTTTGAAATCGAAGCGTAATTGTTGGTGCATTTCAGAAGGCGTTTCTACGTTGAAGTTTGTTTTGTTTGTTGTTGCATTTCAAATCGAAAGGTACGTTGTTGAAACCCTAGTTTTTTATTATTACATTAATTAGGGTTTTTATGTGTTGTTGTTTGGGGTTTTCGAAGTAAAGAAGCATTTGGGACCAATTACATGTAGAAAGTGATCTTCTAGGTAGATGATAAATATCGATACTTTTATTTAATATTATATGTAGAAAATGATATTATAGGTTGTATAAATGTGTCGATACTTTGAGTATTGAGTGTTCTCATTCGTTTGAAGGAAATAGGGAGGTTTTGGGACCGATTATTATATAATATTATAGGTAGAAAATA